CCTAACCATTGTTCTTTTTGGTTTTGTATTTCCTGTTATAATGTCGGGACGACATTTCTGTTGGAGGGGAGTGTGTTACAAGTAGAACGTGAGGGACTGAGCCCAGCCCCAGGTTACTTATTATTATGGGATCGAAAATCCCACGCGTTGGCGAGAATTGAAAACGAAACGAGGATCGATGAGAAAACGTGTTGTCATTGTAGTTTTGTAGTAGTTCCTGTGCGAGATTGAGTAGAGTGTAACACTAGACTCACTGATTCCCCTGTCCTTGATGGGTTATCTGTATGGAAGAATTGTCCACTGTTTGTAGTTTTCTGGTACACCTCCTGTGCGAGAGCTTTCGGGATTTGCTCTGCTGCGAGCGAGAAAGAAGATCACCAAAATGATTCTGATTGTAACAGTGCTTTATGCTTTATTCTGGACTCCAGCTGTGGTGTTACATTCCATTTCGTATTATGGAATTCCCAATATCAGTTACGGCTCAGTCGCATACAACGCTTCCGTGGTGTTTGTCTTCCTCAATTCCTCTGTGAACCCTTTCGTTTACAGCTTTCAAAATGAACGCTTTCGGAGAGGATTTCGAGACTTATTCAAATCTCGTGAAGTCGAGTACAATATAGCCCATCTCGGTCAACCCGCATTAAGCAGCTTAGAAAGGGAAACGCGAGAAAACAGAACAAAACGCAAGTTTCCTGATTTTCATCGCTGGACCGCCAAAGTCGCTGACGCCAGAGTATAAACAGCAAGGGAAACTTTGCCATTCTCGATGCTAATTACATGACTAATATGAAAATCACTAACTTAGCATATGACTCAGTAATTTGTGGCTGAACACTATGAATGATAAATACTTTCAACTGCAGTGGTAGGCTTTCCAAGAAATATTGTGAGTAGGTTACATAATCAAAACTTTTAAATCGTACTTTGCTTCAATTCCTCTTTGAATACTTTGGTTTGCATCTTTCAAAGTAGCCGGCGCTTTTGGAGGATTTCGAGATATGTTCAGCAGTCTTGAGTTCACCTGTCTAGTTTAATGAAGATCTTTCCTTTTTATTATTATTAAAAGTATTAAGCTTTGTCATCTTTTTTTTTTTTAGGTCGTTTGTACAAGAAGCTGAAAACATTGATATGTAATCGAAGGGAGTCAAGTGGTCGATTCGGAATGTTTATTCTTTCGGTTTCCTGTTTAACAGACAGCCGGTGACTTTAAAATCGTAATCCCGTGATTAAACTATGGCGAGCGTGAATAATAAGTTCCCCCTTTGCCTAAGGCATAGCCAACTCGTAACGCCGCTGGTGTGCTTGTCACAGCCGTCAAACGCAGCCTTGCCAAAACCGCCGTTCCTAAAGATTTCACTTTTGGCTGAAACCGCATTCATGTAAGGCGTTTCATCGCTATGAACCGACTGATTCATGTTATTACACTTTTATTTCGAAATTTGGATCACTTGTGACTGGTAATTCCCATTCAAGAGTGATTTCAGAATGCGAATCAAGTTTCCCCCTTCTCAGTACCGTCCGGCCTTCTTTTTGTTTGTATGTTAAGTGTATCTGTGGCAAAGGATCATCCATCTCAGTTTATTTCGTTAACATAACTGTGCCAAGTTATTCCTAGTGTCTCCATGAAGACAATACCGAGCTTTTACTTTACTTGCACAACAGAGCTCGCTTGACAGAGGCTCTAAAGCGTCGACTTTGAAGAGTGTACACAAAGGGATTGACTGTAGAGTTCAAACAGGTCAACAGCACAGTCCATCTATACAGTGGTGAGCCGTACATGGCATCGGAAATGTTAAATGCCAGGATGTAGAGAATCAGATTTGGCAACCAACATATTGAATAAATAACTGTTAACGTGATAGCCATTTTGGTGGCTTTTCTTGGAATTAAAATGGCTCTACGATGAAGCCTTGCTATTGACCTCTTTACCCACAGATGATAAACCACTTTAGAGTATAATACCGCCATGATGGAAACAGGTATTGCTCCGACTACAGAAAACCAAATTATTCCGTAGATTTTAGGAAGCAGAGGATCTGGCCAGTTTTCTACACAAAAGTTGCTTCGGTCGTCATAAGACATGATAAAAAACAGAGGAAGATTGAGTAAGCAAGCGAAAACCCACGAAGATGACACTAATACTCGCAGTTTCGACTTGGACAACTTGCGACGAACCTGATAAGGCCGGGAAGCATGGCGGCGTTCGAAGGCGATTGTCACCAGTGTAAAGACAGATGCTGCCCCTCCGATCCACATGAGATTTCCTCCCGTGATAAAACGGCACAAGAAGTCGCCTACGGAGCCAAGAGGATGTGCGAAAGCGTGGTTCAACACATACCGCGGAATTGCAAACACTGCTACCGTTATGTCTGCCAACGCCAAGTTTAGGAAGAGAAAGTCAAGAGTCGAACGACGAAACTTGAACCGCTTTCGCTGAAGAATTATTAAGCAAACCAATACGTTTCCAACAAAATCGGTTAGGGATAACAGTAAAAAAGTGGCCGAGAGAACCACGTCGTTTACAGAGGCCATTTCAACTTTGTAAGGTTGACGTAAGTCACAAGACTTAAAGATGTTTTTTGACGAGGTGAATTGACCGGACTCAAGTCACGAAAGGTTATTTTGTCCCACAAATATGCTGATTAGTTTCTCAACAATACGCCAGCTTGAGTTAATATTTGAGGAAGGGTGTTATTCCCCAAGAGGACGGTTATAAATTGGAATTGTGAGTTCAACCTGAAAGCAAAATAGGCAGGAAACTGAAATTATTATTTTCCTTTTCAACCACGCGTTGTATGTAATTTCACCTTATTTTACCTGCGACCTAATTTCTATTTTAGTTTCCAGGTGCATGCCCTTTCTATTTTGCAACTTTCATAGAATCATTGACCAATTTTCGTTTTTGTAGTTTATACTCGGTTGTCGTTAGTATATACAAGTCAAAACATGTTCATTTTTAATCCTGATATGTGATAAGTCAAATTAAAAATGCCGAAATATATACTATCCTTTCAAGACCGTAATAGAAGAAAATAGATATAAATTAAATGATTATAAATGTAAAAACAGAGCCACATACGGGATACCTCCGAATGAATTTGCTGGTGGACAATGTCAATAATTCATGAACAATGAAAGATGAAAGTCCTTCGTGATTAAAAGTCTTTATACGTCAATAACTTAATACTCAATTTGAGCAGACATTGCATGAAAATATTTTAAAGCCCGTTATCGTACAGGACGATAAAAATTTAATAGGAAAACTGTTTAAATAACTGCGACAAAATTGGTGGACAGTCTAATCCATTATTCCGGCTGCCTTTTATTTAAACAGAAGGATCTTGCTGTCAATTATCCCTGTAAAAAAGTGCTTAAAACTGATAAAAAAAGAGTGCATTGACGTCCAGACAGCCTACAAGACTTGCGGGCCTCTAAGATTGCCTTTACTAGTTTATTATTTCCATCTACATAACTATTTTTACATGTATTTCTTACCTACGATGTGGTCGGAATCTGACATCGTTAAGAGCCTTTTATTTACTTGGCGGTGTAATTTTCCTGAAGATGTTTTTGCGCTCACAAACAGTAAACTGGACGCACCGGTTTTTAATGAAATATAAACATTTTTTTTCCAGATCACACAGATTAAACTTTAGTTGCATCGTGCTTATCTGTTATAAGTAAATTACGTTCCCGTGAATGGCCATTTTAATACAGGATGTCAAATATCTCATTAACCCATACATGTCCGTGAAGTCCATGTCTCTAATTTGTGACATTTATAGTTGCCGTGGATCTTGTTAGCATAGTTATGGCAGATACGTCAGGACATCAAGGAAATTATTGCTCAGAGTATTAGTTTACAAAACAAATGGCACCTCATTATGCGCGGCTGCTATACCTCTAGCAGCGTGCTTTCTTTGTTTGCACTAATGCAAGTTTTGAAGCCCCCGGCTGTATGGGATGCACATTACTTAAAGTTTACATATAAACCAGGAATTAATTTGTGTTGTTAAATGGCAGAATGGAGAGGCAAAGGGGCCTGTGTTATTTCACTGTTTTCTTCCCATAAGAATATATTATTTTATAGGAATAACAAGGCTGAAATTTGCGAAATATTAAGTATTAAGAATAAACCCAAGGCTGACATTTTGAAAAGAATATAATTTTGTGTGTTGAAAATTTGTAAATACAATACAATTATATGTCGTTGGCTAAACCGTATAAAAACAGCAAAAACAGCACTAGATGTATGGAGATACTAGTAACATTTGTGCAAAAAGTTATGTGAGTCCTGTCAGACTTTGTTGCCAACAGTCTTGCTCCAAAATTACTTCAACGCCATCAAAGTCAATAAAACGGAATGTCATACGTCATAATCTAAGAATATTCACAAGAACATTTTCAGCCTAAAATCGATAAAAAATATAAGAATATTCAGCCTGAGCGGGAAAAACAATATTCTTGTAGAAAGATAAAAGAGTGTATTGTCTTATTAGAACAATTGCAATTTGAAACTAATGTTCACCAATGCAAAATTCCCAGTCTGATAGAGCTCTCTTAAAAGTATAAATAAGTAAGAAAATTTTGCCTGTGTCATAGATGAAGTCAGTCCTGCCGGCAGGTGCTACAGAAGGGAACAAGAAGCGAGTGGCGGAAATGAATATGCCGATATAATCATGACTGAAAACGAAATTAAATTAGTTTTTTTTTTTTAACGAAGACTGTAGCAGCCTTTTAGAAGAAGTTTGACTAATTAAACGTTTCTTCAGTTTTGAAAAATGCTGATTGGGCAATTGAGAGAGGAAGGACTTAAGAAGAATATTTCCATGGTTGTTGTTTTCGTTTATTGCATGACAAACTGCCGCCTAGCCACAAGTGCTGTTTTGTTTTGCCTGGGGCTGTTGCTGTGGTCGTTTTCATTTTGTTGTGTTTTGTTCTGCTTTCTTTCAATTTTTTTTCTTTACCTGCGTAGCAAGCGTTACCTTACGCATTCTGGTCGCGCGCACCTCCAATTTGCTTGCGACCAGAATGTAGGCTCTTTGTACGGGACCGCTTGCTAAGCGGGCTAATTTTTTCTTTATTTTCTGTCTTTATTCTCTTTTTTTTATTATTTTTAGCATTTCGCCACAAAGAAAAGGATGTCATCACGTACGCTCATATTTGAGTAATAAGTCCAGAAGCTTCAATTAATTACGTGTGTTGTTTTTAACGAGTTATTTTGCCGCTATGGTAACACTTTGCGTCACGCAAAAAACTTCAAATTGTTCACCAAATCGAGATTTAGCATTGATCCATCAGGGAAGATGCGCTGGAAAAATGCTGCAAAGCATTAGGAGCCACCCTATTAAGTTTGACTCCAGTGGTAACGAAAATCTGTCCTGGAGCTGAACAATGAAAGCAGCCATTAATTGCGTGACCGGATGCGTCACGCTTTAACACGTGACGAACATTGTTTCAACATAATAGACTATAAAATACTACAAATATTAAACGTTTCAGTTTGATTTTTCATCACACTTAGTCATGTCAGCTTAGGTAAGAGTTTTTCGCGTATGTTGTTTTTAAGGTGAAATTGAAGAAAGGGAGAAGAGGCGCCATTCTCAGGAAACGGAGCTTCGAATAAAGGTAAATGTAATCACACTGGTAATATCTAATGTTGAATGTAAACAGAGGGATTCCGAGAAGTTAACTTAGTCCGTCCTGTTTGTCATATCTTCGACTGAAGATAAGGACAGTTAGTTCCCGCTCCAGTTGCTTGGTATTTCCATAGCCAATGCGACATCTTATATTTCCTACATATCACTACAATTATCTGCTAGCTCTTGATCGGCATTGATAAAAATTTTTAGCCTCATCGTCGTCCCTGACATTTCCTGGTATCATGCTTATGTAGAATATGTCGCGAAGACAAAGTCAACACTTGCAAGCTGTAGGTTGCGCTGTTTCCCAGGATTAACTGTGGGCTTTTAGCGAATGAGAAGACAGATGGTGACTACAATGTATAATAAATATATTTATTGATTTCTCAATTGTGGTGCTAGTAATCTATAATTCACTTTAGTTGAGCCAACGTTCTCAGTGGAATGCTGTCTTCACTAAGCATAACCTTATGACATCGAGATTGTCTACAGGCATTCGCTCTTCATTTCTACGAGGTTACGGCAGATGAGGCCCAGAGCCAAATCAAGAGCGACTGACATGATTGTTTTAGTAGAACTTTAACTCTCTGTATTTCCTTCAAAAATTGATTTGAATTCTTATTATTTCTCTTCATATCTAGAAGTGTTATCGAAATCGCACGTGGCTGTATTTTCGTTTGAAACTTCAGCAATACACCTGTAAATAGTGGACCGAAATGTGGGGAAAGACAAATAAAAAAAATAAGTACGGCAAAAAAACAAAAAACAAAAAAACAAAATACCAAAAACGTCCAAAGACAATTTGCAGATTAATTTATTCTCTTTTAGACCTTAATCTAAACAAAAAGCTATTTATATCGATTTTTTTGGTAGAAGAAATCCGACATTTTTCTTTTAGTATTATAAGAAAATTGCACCGTGTTGGCCGGATCTTTATGAATATGGCTCACTACGATATGTTACCTCTGTTGCAGGCGTGAATTCAGCCATGAACCCATTTATTTATGCTCTGCACAATACCAAGTTTCGCCAGCACATAAGGCGAGCCCTCTGTTGCAGGACATTCCATTCAGCGGACTTCCTCGAAGGTCATATTAGTAATTCTTTGCAATGTGAATATACATTAAAGAAATATCGCGGTGCCTTAGACTTTGGAACTTATTGTTAATCTTTGTTCAGACTGTGACCGAGCACCTTTCCCGCTACCTCATAGTTAAGTGACAGCCCTGGTGAAGCAATGATGTTTTCCAACAAATCAAAACTTTACTAGAACAGAGAAAAATCTACCATAATGTTGCTCGACCCGAAGTTTTGTTCTTTAGCGACATGGATCCTACTTTATGTCAATCAACTGCTGCTTTTATTTCCGAGCAATGTCCCTTACACATGACATTTTCCATTGCAAACTGAATAACATTTGTTTGAATTCTATTTTGGATGTTATTATATTTTCTTTAGTTTAAATAGATAATTTCATGTATTGTTATGGAAATTCCTTAATAAATTGTTGTTGTTTTGGTTTTCTAAGATTATGTTAACAAAATCACACGACATGAACTATTCTTCTTGCTGAAAAATGCCATATCACAATTTGGCTCTAGCTAATGCGAATGCTTGGCCCGAGGTTGCACATACGTTTGGAATTTACTAGTTCCCTCCTTAACTATGGACATGTTCGTTCAAGAATAACAGAGTTCTGACGTCATCTAGCATGTTATTTATGATTACAGGACATTTCTCTCGTATTTCTATTAATAAGTAAAAAATGGAACGTTTAATATTGATTTTCGCTGTCTAAATCAAAGAATGATTTATGAGCTTAGTGATGTAAAAATAGTTTTTTTGTCCTTGCGGTTACATATTGTCTTTTTCGTTTAACTTCGGGTTTAAAATCTTACCTTACAGAAATCATTAAATCGACAAAAGATCGATTTTGGTAGCAAATAGAGTTACCCAGTGACGTTAACCTTTAAACAACACGTTCCGTGCAGAAGATTTCGGAGTCAATAACTTTCGTAATATATTGAGTTACTCTGCTCCACTGGCGAAGAAGGACAAATTATTAAATAAGAAATCTGAGTGCTTGGTCACAGGTCTATGCAGACCCTTTTCATATAAAATGGCTTTCAATTTAAAATTCTTTTGCCGTGTGCATTTAAATTAGCCTCACTAACTTCGTTTGAGTGTTAAAATTATTTTGAATTATAATTTTTTTTTTTTTATGACGGGCTCATGATAAGGCTAATTTTAATATTTACAAAACATTTTGTAATTGGCAGCTATTTATGAAGAGCCTTTGACTTTCCTTTTATTGCCATAGGATATACGGTCTTCCTGGGCTTAATATGTTAATCCAAATATCCAAATCGAGTCCGCTAATTGGTTATAATCACATAGGGTTTGTCTGTGCAGATAAGCGCCCACAAGTACGCAGTAACGTTTCAGCTTTATAAGAGCTCAGTGAAAGGTTCGCAGTATTCGGCGGTTTTGGCTAAAGCTTTTATGTAGCCTGCGAGCAGGCTCTCACCGTTGGTGTCGGCGAACGAAGCGAGAGGCTCTACACCAGCTGCTCGCTTTGCTCGCTGACTCAAGTTCGCGACTTTGCTCATCGACTTTGCTCCTGCCCTGACGCATGAACGCCTGCTCGCAGGCTAGCTTTTATGAGGTCAGTGCTTGATGTAGCTCAGTTTGAGGANCCGCTTTCGCTGAAGAATTATTAAGCAAACCAATACGTTTCCAACAAAATCGGTTAGGGATAACAGTAAAAAAGTGGCCGAGAGAACCACGTCGTTTACAGAGGCCATTTCAACTTTGTAAGGTTGACGTAAGTCACAAGACTTAAAGATGTTTTTTGACGAGGTGAATTGACCGGACTCAAGTCACGAAAGGTTATTTTGTCCCACAAATATGCTGATTAGTTTCTCAACAATACGCCAGCTTGAGTTAATATTTGAGGAAGGGTGTTATTCCCCAAGAGGACGGTTATAAATTGGAATTGTGAGTTCAACCTGAAAGCAAAATAGGCAGGAAACTGAAATTATTATTTTCCTTTTCAACCACGCGTTGTATGTAATTTCACCTTATTTTACCTGCGACCTAATTTCTATTTTAGTTTCCAGGTGCATGCCCTTTCTATTTTGCAACTTTCATAGAATCATTGACCAATTTTCGTTTTTGTAGTTTATACTCGGTTGTCGTTAGTATATACAAGTCAAAACATGTTCATTTTTAATCCTGATATGTGATAAGTCAAATTAAAAATGCCGAAATATATACTATCCTTTCAAGACCGTAATAGAAGAAAATAGATATAAATTAAATGATTATAAATGTAAAAACAGAGCCACATACGGGATACCTCCGAATGAATTTGCTGGTGGACAATGTCAATAATTCATGAACAATGAAAGATGAAAGTCCTTCGTGATTAAAAGTCTTTATACGTCAATAACTTAA